CACTTGCATAACAGGGGGTGGAACTGAAGGCCTCTAGCTGGGCGGTGCTGGCCACACCTGCCCAGGTAGACATCACCAATTAATTGTATAAAAAGCAGATAGCTTATGCAGGGACGGGGATGAAAAATGCAAGCTTCACATCAAAGGACAACGTTGCCTTTTGCAGGCACGCCCGCCATCTTATGAGCCTGTCAACTCTCCTAGAATGCAGCTTCTGCTATGGGTAATTCTAGGCATTCTGGGTTGGTAAGATAACTTCATTAGCAACACCTGGGTGACTGGGGAAGTCGTACTGAGGGCTTATTTTCCTCCTCCTTCCTCTCTCTCGGGTTTTCATTTTGTTGGCCACCTCTTGGTAATAAATATTGGTTTTTGTTGAGCTTTCAACGGTGTTTGGTTTCAGTCTTGGCATCCTTTTGAACTCTCCCTATTACAGGTCCTAAATTTAAGAAAACTCATAGACCCCAATAGCTGTTTGCTTTGCCCTCACTCTTTATGATCCAGTCACCACCACTTAGACGTATTTGCCACAGGTATTCAGTTTCACCTGGTTTTCTGCTATATCTCTCTTACAAATTCGTCAATTGCAACAGATCCCAGAGGATGGTTTGTATAGTATTTACCTAGGTATTTACCTAGATATTTACCTAGAAAAAGGAAAACTGAGTCTTAATCAAATTTGAAGACCTAAAAAGGGGCAAGACCAGGTTAACCTCTGAGCCTGCCACTGAAAGCCAGCCACGGGTTGCAACCCTGTTTGGGCATGGACCGTGGAGGCTTAAGTTATACTGGACCCTTTTGGGTACTCTGCTGTCTTTGGACTCAAGCCCTTTCCGACGAATGTGCCAAGTGTTACCAAATTACAAGTTATAAAGGCCATATGATTCAAAGTTTGAGTTACCATTCATTCGTCAACAAGGTCTGTTATGACACTGAACAGCTAAACACTTGCAACATGGGTTCTCAGCAATTCTGGGTAGCTCAAAATTTAGGAAAAGGGGGAGTGAGATTGGAACTTAGTTGTCCTAAGGGAAAAGAATGGATTTGTTTCACTCAAGAGGGCCATTGGGACATTTCCGATGGGGTGTGGAGTACAAGATTTGAAAAGGGAAGAGATAGTAAAACAAAAAGTGCAAGCTGTGTTAAAAGGGACTATGCAAGAAAAACCTTCCAGCACGGGTGACTTATACCAAAAATTAAAAGACAAGCTAGGAGAAGTTTGGCAACTCCCAGGTTATGGGACTAACCTATACATCGATCTAATGGAACATATTATTCAGACATTGAATTTATCTAAGTGCTGGATTTGTAGCGGACCCTTAATGACAGAAGAGTGGTCCTGGAAAGGGACCGGTCTCACTCCATGGGAAATTTTAAAGTGGAATCACTCTCGGAAGGCATCAGAGTCTAGGCCCCAGGGCTGGATATTAACTTCTGACGTAGTCGGACAAGAATGCATTGAAAGGAGAGGTTGGGAAACATATAAGACTAAAGTAGGAGAGTCTCCGTGCCTCTCGGTAAAAGTTATAGATACCACAGGGGAATTTTGGTGGCCTCAGGAACCATTAGGATATTGGACTAATAATGCAACTGCAGGTTGTACGTGGTACAATAATACCCAAAGCTGGTGGTGTAACAGAACAAATCCTAAGAATCTTTTTGAAGGTATAGAGGAGTTGAAAATATATTGGGACCAAGCAAATAGCACTAGCTTGAGTTGGGTAGCACCTGAAGGACTGTTCTGGATATGTGGAAAACAAGCATATACACAGCTTCCCAAAGACTGGAGAGGAGTTTGTACTCTTGGTATGATCCAACCTGGGTTTTTCTTACTGCCCCTCGAAAAAGGGATGAATCTAGGTGTACCCTTATATGATGATTATGGAACAATGCACCAAAATAAGAGAAATGAAATTGGGGGAACCCAGAAGTGGTACGATGACGAGTGGCCTCCTGAACAGATTATTGCAACGTATGGACCAGCCACTTTGGCGCAGGATGGGACCTGAGGTTATAGGACTTCCATATACATTAAATAGAATTATATGCCTTCAAGCAGTCATGGAGATAGTGGTCAATAAGACAGTCCAAACACTAGACCTAATTACGAACCAACAATCAAAAACTCGAGCAGCCATGTATCAGAATCAGCTTGCCTTAGATTATCTGTTAGCTGAAGAAGGAGGAGTGTGTGGAAAGTTTAATACCTCGGACTGTTGCTTACAAATTGATGATAATAAGCAAGCAGTAATGGATATTGCAAAAGATGTCAGAAAACTGACTCACGTACCAGTACAAAAATGGAACTCTATGTTAGATAGTAGCTGGTGGGATAATTTATTAGGAACAACTTGGTGGAAGAAAGTAGGATTCTTCTTATTATGTGCTCTAGCTACTATAATATTTTTGCCTTGTTTAATTCCTTGCTTCATTAGACTAATAGTTTCTGCTGTACAAGGAATGCGTCAACAATGCCAATAGATTCGAAAGCCGCGCAGAGAACCAAATTGTTATTAGTCACCAAAACTCCAATTTCCCAAGATGAAGAAGGTATCAAATTAGTATTGTCAAGATTGGAGCAAAAGACACGAATTAATAATTTCATAAAAAAAGAGGAGGGATTGTGATAAACACAGGCGATAATTCGTGTCATCCCAGGAAAGAAGAAAACAAACAGATTGTAAAACTTAATTGCACCCCCATAAAGACATAAAACAGACCAACCTTCCCTGTCCTCCTAGCCAGGAATTATGTCCAAACTGCATCAGGTCAAAAAGCTTGCTGGCGCCTCTTATCGAAGAACATATGAATTTATAACTTGAAGTAGAGATAACAAATGAGTCTTAGCTGTGAGAATAAACATATGTTGAATACCTGGAATAGCGATGTAAAATGTATATGCCTGTGATATGATGAATATGTATGAGATGTTTGAAATAAATATCAGGCTCATGCACTGTATCAGTGTGGCAGGCCTAGGAGAGGGTCTATCTCCTCCTGTCACCACGGCGCTGCTTGCTTTTACCATATAATAAATTCTAATTTGAAAAGCTATTTATCTGAGACTGTTTCTCACATTGTGTAACAGGTCTCTTGCCCTAACAGATATTACCAGAGCTAAGAAGGTCTTTGCTTCTTAGATTAGTACACCAACAATGTGTTTTAACTTATTCTTCTGTGTTGTATTGCTGGTAAGCAAGAATCAGAGTTAGAATTAAAACTTGCATTTGGCTCCAATATAGAAGGTCATAATATGATTGAATTTGTATTATGAATTTGGATGGAATTTGAAAACAAACTCAAAATTTTATACCAAACGACTTTTGAAGATGTCTCACTGGCTTTAGAGATATCTTCAGCAAACTTACTTCGTAGTATCCAAACTAGAAAAACTTTAAAAGAGTGGATTGCTAGTATAGTTTGAATAATACTGTTAAATTACCAGACAATACTATAGTTATTGATATTATATATCTATTGTCTTTCATGAAAATTGGTATTGTTTGTATATGTTTTGTCCCAGTAGTTTTATAGCGAGTGGCAAGAATTGTTTGGAATATCTCTCTCTCCTCTCTGGCTGCTGCTACATATGAAAGAAACCTTTTAGTTTACAAGTCCACACAAGATTATAAATAACAATGCGTGAGGTGCTGAGCCTCACAGAAGAAGAGCCCTGTGTTAGAAAGCAAGAAAGTGGCTAGTTAGCAAGGCTGTAAATTAAGGGCTGATGTTTTTTGGACCCACCCCTCCTCCCCCCATAGGCCCTAGCTCGCATCATGCCTGCAATCTTTTGATAGGCTGCAAACTTCATAGCATGATGGTTTGTTCAAGTTGTTTGAATGCTTTGTCTAACTTGTGCATTGCTTTACTGAATGCCTTTGTTAAGTGAATTTTGACCATGCCCTGGATATTTTTCTTAATGCTCTTAATGCTCTTGGGTTCTTCAGGGCACACAGGCTTTGAGCATTTAACACAAGCAGTGACAGCACCTGGTGCCTGATTATAGTGCACTGACCTTGTTTAGGCAAAAGTACCCATATGTACTGAGTTTCTCAGCAATGTTTACAGATCACAGTGTCTGTTCCGTCTGGGCACACGTTTTCACAAGAGTACTGTAGTACCAAAGACTTGACTTTGGGCTTTTAATGAAGTGCTATAAAGACTTTCTTTTTCCATTTTTCCCATTCCTGAAAGTGAAATCCCTACAATGAAACTTCTCTTAATAAACTGTCCAATTTTTTTATTACATCAGGAGTGAAGCTACCAATTTTAGATCCCAGGGTACTACCAGCTTTATTTCCACATCTAGTAACAGTGTCTGTATAGGTATCCAGTGTCTCCTATAATTTTTCTTTCGCTCTCAATTGTGAAGTGAGATGCTCTCCTCCCATCTTACTCTATCCTGTTCCCCAGCAGCCTGCTGAATTTCAAGAGAGCAGCATCTTATGGCAAAGGTGCTCCTGCACTTTATCTGCTACCCCCCTCAAAACACGGCACTGTCAAAAAGAACCAGCTCTAAGATACCAAAATATGCAGTGAACGGGCAGGATGACACGTATCAGCTGAAAGTTCTGTTTGGCTCAGACTTTCAGGTTTGCTTTTTTGTTTGTTTGTTTATTTCCTGTTGGAAAAGTATTTTTTCCTCCACTGTAATAATTAAGGAGAGTACTGAGATATGATTTAAAAAAGAAGGTCATAGACTATTGCACTAAATGTGAATCTGAGAGTCCCTAAAAGATATTACTGAATTGCATTTCCTGTGACTGTATTGGTGGTGATAATACAGAATCGCAACTTTGATGTTTAAAAATTAGCATGTACTACTTCTTGTTTCCTATGCCATACTTTCCTTTTTAACAGTGCCCTGGGGGGGGGTACTTTCAACAGCTTAACTTCTAAGTAGACTCTGATTTTTAAGAACATGCTAAACTCAATGTGTTTTTGGTATCAGTAAGTACTTATTTTACTTGCCATTTGTCTTAAATTTTATACACCTTTAAAGTACCAACTATATTTTGAAGACATTCTTACAGTTGTTTCAAGTGAAATTTTGAATGCTACAAATTTGGAAAGAGATTATTTTCCTGTGAATAAACTGTTAAAAAAAACCCAAAAGAGTGAAGAAAGACAGGTTCAGGAGATGGCCTTACTAACTGTTTTTGAAGTTGTTTACTTAAATAGCAAAAATTATTTTAAAATACATGCATAAACATAGTGGACAAGTAGAGTTTTTGAAGTTTTTTCAGTGACTACTGACAAGTTCTCTTTGAAGTCCAAAAGCCCATTAGCATAGAGAAGTGTGTGTTTTGCTTTAAAAATAGAAGGAGTATATAATTATCTTTAAACTATAAGAATGTTTCACTGTGGCCGTGCTGGCCACCGGGGCCGCACCGCGGGACCACTACGCACCAGCCGCGTCGGCCGCCAGTGCGAACTGCACCCTTGTGGGAAATGAGAGGAAGAACTATGGAGCGCATAGAGGTTTGCCAGTCCAAGTTTTGGGGGAGGGGTGTCAGGTGGCCTGAGGGGGTCCTCAGACCAGCGGGAGGGTGGGTGGGGCAGCCCTGTATGGAGTGTCTCAGGTGAGCAGTGCGAGTGAAGATCTGTGGTAACATGATGGGGGGAGGATAAGGCCAGGGTGGATAGAGGGTTCTTCTGGGGGGTTGGGGGGTTTTGGCCAGGCTAGGGCAATGGGAGATGCCCGAGCCCCGAGTGGGTGCAGGGGCCAGAACAGTTTTGTTTTCGACTCACTTGTGGCTACTGCCCAGGTTCGGTCTGTTTTGGATTTATTTATTGAGTCCTGAAAGGGTGGTCAGGACAAAGGGATGTTCCTGGGTATTTCGCTGGGTTTGAGTATAGATGGGTGGCAGAAAAGTAGGGAGTGAAAGCCTTGCCCTAACTGTTATGAGTGGGAAAGAAGCCTGTGTACCCCTATGCAGTTGCGAGCTATGCTGGTGATGGTACATGCCTTCGGTAGGGTCTCCCATGCCAGACACGTCCAAACTGAAGGGTTAGATAAAATTAGGTCCATGGGCAGGATGAACTCGCTAGCCTTCTGGCAGTCATCCTAGGAGAAGGAAAACTCTAATTCCAAATCCGGGCAGATGGAGCTCTCTTAGCCCTGTAAGGCCATCCATCTAAGAGAAGGACACTGTAAGCAAACCAACATCCTAAGGATCTCGCTGTCAGTGTCCAAGCTTGCTAGGCCCTGACAGATGAACCTTAGGATTAAAGGATGGGTCCAGTTCTGCGCATGCTGCGTCTTACCTAAAAAATCCATTGCGCAGGCTTGAGGGTGACAACCACATTTGTAAAGCCCTGTAGCGACGGGCGAGGGTCAAAACGTCAGGTGATAAGATGCACTAGAAGTCACAGACCCAACCCTGCATGCAGGCGGTTCAGGACATTGGTCGTTAGAGACTGACCAGAGATGACAGTCTCTTGGGGCAGCATCCTGAATGACCAAGCAGCTTTTTTCAAGGACAGCACTGCTTGCTCCACTTGGAGAGGGGCCTAGAAAAGGTGGCCTAACCAAAGCTCATCTCCACCTTCACCCGGTTGGTTAACCACGGCCAACGGGCATCTTCTACTAATGCGGTCACATAAAGATCAAAAGACAAAGGCATGCACCTGCCTCCAAAGGTGTACCCAAATTGACTCTAGCATGCTGGAACATCAGAACCATGCTTGATTCTGTGGACAGTGGATGTCCTGAGCATCACTCTGCCCTAATTGCTCACGAACTATCACGTCTCAACATCGACATTGCTGCTCTCAGCAAAGTTCATCTCCACGAGGAAGGCAACCTTAGAGAACATGGTGCCGGTTACACACTCTTTTGGTCAGGTAAACCCAGAACTGAAAGGCATCTCTCAGGTGTTGGCTTCATGATTAAAAACCCTATTGTTCCTAAACTCGAAAATCTGCTGACAGGTCATTCTGACTGCATTATCTCCCTATGCCTTCCACTACACAACAAGCAACATGTTGTCCTCTTTAGTATATATGCCTCAACTCTCCAATCTGACCCTGCTGAAAAAGATAAATTTTATGCTGACCTGCGCCGCCTTAGACAAAAGGTTCCTGCATTATCCTTGGGGATTTCAACGCTAGAGTAGGAAAGAATTTTGAAGCCTGGAAAGGAGTATTAGGCAAGCATGGTGTTGGAAACTGCAACGATAATGGTCAACTTCTGCTAGAATTCTGTGCGGATCAACAGCTCACCATCACTAATACTACCTTTCAGCAGAAAAATAGCTTGAAGACAACCTGGATGCATCCCATGTCTAAGCATTGGCACCTCATGGATTATGTCTTGGTGTGACGGAGAGATGTTCACGATGTCCACCATACTTGCGTGATGCCTAGTGCAGAATGCCAAACAGACCATCACCTTGTGCGCTGTAAACTTAACTTCAATCTTAAGTTCAAGCCTAAAAGGGACAGCATCCCAAGGAGGAGACACCAAGTTAACAATCTCCAATGAGCCACCGTGAGACAGATTCCAGGCAAATCTTCAAACTAGGCTCGAAAAGCATTCCATTGGTTCTATGGATGCCTCTCCTGAAACACTTTGGCACCATATTAAAAACAGCATCCTGCAGTCCTCTGTAGAATCCTTAAGGTTCTCCTTGAAGAAAAACAAGGAATGGTTTGATGAAAACAATCAAGAGATCCAGGAATTGTTGAGGAAGAAGAGATCTGCTCACCAAGCACACTTTGCACTGCCATCCTGTCATGTAAGAAAGGCAGCCTTTTGTCTTGCATGCAGCAAACTCCAACAGAAACTCCGCGACATCCAGAACAAGTGGTGGATCAATCTAGCTGAGAAAACTCAATTATGCGCAGACACGGGTGATCACAGAGGATTCTATGAGGCCCTGAAAACAGCATACGGGCCTACATACCAGGTACAAAGCCCTCTACTCAGTGCAGATGGTCAAACACTTCTGACAGACAAAACCTCCATTCTGAATTGTTGGTCTGAACACTTTCATACCCTTTTCAGTACTAGCCGTTTAGTCCAAGACTCAGCAATTCAGTACATCACATAGCAACCGGTGAAGTATGAATTGGATGGATATTGCTCCCACTTTGGGAGAAACTCTCAAGGTCATACAGCAGGTGAAAATTGGCAAGGCAGCTGGGGTTGATGGAATTCCACCTGAAGTCTGGAAACATGGGGGTCAAGCACTCCATGCTAAATTTCATGTGTTGGGAACTAGGCGAACTACCATCAGAACTTCGTGATGCAGTCATCATCATCGTGTATAAGAAGAAAGGAATTAAATCAGACTGTTCAAATTACCGTGGTATTACTCTGCTCTCCATTGCTGGCAAAATCCTGGCAAGAATACTCTTGAACAGACTAATACCCGCCATAGCAGAAGGAATTCTACCTGAAAGTCAACGTGGTTTCAGAGCCAACAGGAGTACCACAGACATGGTATTTGTTCTCAGACAACTGCAAGAGAAGTGTAGGGAACAGAACAAAGGTCTCTATGTAACCTTTGTCGACCTCACCAAGGCTTTCGATACTGTGAGCAGAAAAGGTCTGTGGCAGATTTTAGAACGTTTAGGATGCCCCCTCAAGTTCCTTCAAATGATCATCTCACTCCATGAGGATCAGCACGGCCAAGTCAGATATGGCAATGCACTTTCTGAGCCCTTTCTGATAACCAATGGTGTGAAACAAGGCTGCGTTCTTGCACCAACCCTATTCACAGTCTTTTTCAGCATGATGCTCCAAAGGGCCACGGCAGATCTCAATGATCAGGATGGTATCTACATTCCATATCGTACTGATGGAAACCTATTCAACCTTAGGCGACTGAAGGCCCACACTAAGACCTTAAATCATCTTGTCTGGGAGCTGCTTTATGCTGGTGACGTTGCCCTTGTCGCCCACACAGAAGCAGCTCTGCAGCGTTTAACATCCTGCTTTGCAGATGCTGCTGAACTCTTTGGGCTGGAAGTCAGCTTAAAGAAGACAGAAGTTCTCTATCAACCTGCACCTCAGGAAGTCTTCCATCATCCCCATATGACCATTGGCAAATCAGAGCTCAAATCAGTCCAGCAGTTTAATTACCATCTCCTTGGATGGTAAGATTGATGGAGAGATAGACAACAGGTTAGCAAAGGCATATAGTGCTTTCGGAAAACTCCATAAAAGAGTTTGGTGAAATAAACACTTGAAGAAAAGTACCAAGATCAGTGTTTACAGAGCCATTGTGCTGTCTCCTCTTCTATATGGATCCAAATCATGGGTCATCTACTGCCACCACCTGCGTCTCCTAGAACGCTTCCATCAACACTGTCTCCGTACAATCCTGAACATCCACTGGTCAGATTATGTGACCAATACGTCTGTTCTAGAACAGGCAGCAATCACAAGTATTGAGGTCATGTTGCTGAGAACACAGCTGCGTTGGACAGGACACGTCTCAAGGATGAAGGACTACCACCTCCCTAAGATCATGCTTTATGGTGAACTTGCCACCGGCTGCTGCAAGAGAGGAGCCCCGAAGAGAAGATACAAGGTCTCCCTGAAACAACATCTCAGCCTTGGTCATATTGATCCACTGGTCTACTCTGGCCTCCAATTGGGAGGTCTGGAGACACACTATCTTTAACGCTGCTGATGCTTTTGAGAAAGCATGCAGGATCACTCTTGAGGAGAAAAGACAATGCAGAAAGAATCATGTCTTGCAGAATATACCACCTAAGGAGTCTTCCTGCTGTGCCTTTTGCAATCGGATGCATCTATCTCATATTGGCCTTTTTAGCCACCAGCGCACTTGTAACAAATGTGGGTAGAGCCCTTCCCTAATCTTCATTCGGAAAGCCTGGCCATGATGATTATAAGAATGTTTGTATGTATTTGGGTTTTCCGTTGAACATGAAGCAGAAATATGTTTGTGTTTTCCAAGTTATACTTTCATGAAAACAAGAAATGCATAATCAAATCTTACTCATCTGAGGGCAAAACACAAGAATGATAATTTCTTAATTCGTAAAACACAGTGATATGAAACTCAGAAGTTTGTCTGTGTGAAAGTATGTTTGACAGTGGCCACTGTGAGAGTTTGTATGTGTGT